AGAGAGAAGGGAAGATAAAGAAGTGAGGGGATAGGAGAAGGGGAAAGACACGTGAGAGAGGAATAGGGGAATGAGAAGTAATTAAGTAATGAAAGGTGACAGGTGAGGAAGGATAGAGAATAGAGAGAGAGGAGCGACGAGAGAAAAGTAGAAGACGACAATGAGATGGGAAAGATGAGAATGAACAGAGAATGAGAGAGGAGAATGAAGGATAAGGGAAAGTTGAGAAGGGAGCCAACGAAATGCGTCTCAAAGCAAGGCATTAACGGGTCATCACAAAAGGAGACGATGGCAACTATTAATGACGTCACAACCTTCCACATGGTCTCAATACTACCTTCATTCACAATATACAGTGAATTACAGCTTCCTAATGAATTCACCATTCTCGTGTACCTGGCTTGCGCTTGTGTATGGACACGCAAAGGTAAGACACTGTCGTTTAATCCTTAATAATATCTAATGCCGAGCCAGAGGCGACAGTATGACGTCACGCGCGGCGCCATATCATTGGTCGGGAGACCTGGACAAAACGAACGCTTGCTGGAACGTTGTGTTGACAACATTATAAGACCAGCCGATGTTAGGGGTCCATTCAGTCCCGAATTAAAGCAACGCACCTTCAGCACATGACGATTACGGAGCTGTGAAGGTGTCTGGTTGTAAACAAACCGGTTTCAGTCGCTTTAGAATCGTTTCCGGCAGTTGATAAGTCATGTGCAGTACCCACTACAATTTCAAGAGTGTGCATCCTGAAGTAACCTGCGCCGAGGACATGGAAGACCTGATCGGTACGGCCATTTGCTACCAGTACATGTTCGAGAAGCGCACCTCACCGTGGGAGAGGTGCGAGTGGTCTGAGGGTGAACTGGAAGCCTTTGAGATAGATCTGGAGGCCGTCGACCGCCTCTACTACATCTATCACTGCGACGACGGTGTCTCCGGCAGGGACTTCGAATTCGCTGGCAGGATGGAGTACAAGCACGGTTATGTCTACATCAAGATGTCAGCCGGCTGTGACTTCACCGGCTTTGAATGCCAAGGAGGAGGCAAGATCTTCCTCACCTTCGACGCTAGGATCTTCCTCAAGTCCGCCATGGAGCAACACTACCAGCCTCACCTCATCTGGGAGTCCATGGTGCAGGACGGGCTGGACGTTGAAGAGCCTTCGTCCTCCTCCTCCTCCCATCTACACCATACATGGCCGTGAAGGAGCTTGGTATAGTGATCCTTGTGAGTTCGACCGGACGAACCAGTTCACCTGCTAGTTCTCAGGCTGGCTGAAACCGCCTGATGTAGGTTGAAATTGGTGTGCACAAACCGAAGCTGGCTGACATACCAACCCGTCCTCCTAATAGAACGTCGCATTTTGACGTATACGCTTACCTTAAGGCCAAAAGTCGTCAGCGGCTCGCGATGTTGACATACTGTTCCGTTTTCAGTTTTGGGTCCTCTGGTAGGTTAACAGAGGGCGCTTTAGTACGACAGTTTCTTGACGTTGGGAAACCTTAGGAGGACGGGCTGGACATACACCTAACCTGGTTGACGTATGTTGAAGCTGGTGTCATTCTGAGGAGTGTCGCAGAATGTCTGTGGTCCTGAGAACCACCTGTAGTGTCTGTGGTCCTGAGAACCACCTGTAGTGTCTGTGGTCCTGAGAACCACCTGTAGTGTCTGTGGTCCTGAGAACCACCTGTAGTGTCTGTGGTCCTGAGAACCACCTGTAGTGTCTGTGGTCCTGAGAACCACCTGTAGTGTCTGTGGTCCTGAGAACCACCTGTAGTGTCTGTGGTCCTGAGAACCACCTGTAGTGTCTGTGGTCCTGAGAACCACCTGTAGTGTCTGTGGTCCTGAGAACCACCTGTAGTGTCTGTGGTCCTGAGAACCACCAGAAGTTACTTCGCCACTTCGTTACTTTGAAGTAACGAAGTTACTTCGCTACTTCGCAACCTGCCCTCTTCATCACCAATATAGACTTCTTCGGCTGAAGACATAATGTTAAATTCTTCTTCAGTAAACACGAACACAACACGTTTATTTCAAATACTGCTCGTTGTTATTGTTTTAGATTCAGCTACTGGGAACAAAAGTTCCAAGTAGCACGGGCTATGGTGAGCCCGTAGCAATACTGCTTTGTCATTATCAGTTATTTGATCTATCTCATTTTTTTAATGCCCTTATCATTGTTATTAAACCAAAACTGAAGTTATTGTCTTTGCTTATCCTGCTATACGAACCTTCGTAGTTTGTTTTTGCAAATAATTTCTCACGATAAAAAAAAAATAAGGAAGTTTCTACGCACTCAACAGGTGTTGTAGAGTGCACAAAATTATTTGTGCACTCCACAATAATCCACAAGTTTTTTGTGTGTGGATTATTGACGAGTATCATCCCTGCTTGACTGATTGATAATTGATTGATGATAATTGATGACTTTATCTAACATACAACTTCTGGGCCTACTAATAATCCGCTATAACATGGTCCTATGTCTACGTTCTAAATAAAAAAAAATCATTAATTAAATTATTATTATTTATTTCATTAGTTATAATGAAAATGCTAATAAATTATTATGATCATTTATAATTATAACTCTAATGACCTTAACCTTATCTGCAATTGCTAAAAATCTAAACTATTTAAATGATTATAGTTAATATCAATAAACACTGTGAACAATATCAATAAACATTGTAGTCAATGTCAACATTGTAGTCACTATCAACATTGTAGTCAATATCAACATTGTAGTCAATATCAACATTGCAACTAATATCAATAAACATCTGAAATGATTACATTTGTTTGCATTTAATCACTGGAATTAATTACCTGTAACTAATATGATAACTACATAGAACGTTCGTAAGCCCTCATGACATGAACGGTGCTCACCAATTACAAAACTCGAGCAGTTTATAAAGAAATCACAATGGCGTGATATATATATATATATATATATATATATATATATATATATATATATATATATATATATATATATATATATAATAATTTTGGGGTAATGAGGTCCTGAGAACCACCAATAGGTTCTGTGGTCCTGAGAACCACCTTTAGTGCCTGTAATCCTTACAACCATTAGAAACTGCGTTCAAATGATTCTCAGACACTTACCTTAACCCATTCGGCCACTATAGGATAAAAGCCATTTAACCCGGAATTATTCTGACCTCGATAGACGGGGTCAAGGGGGGGGGGGCGGCACCCCTGCTGGGCTGGGAATCACTAGACGTCGGGATCGAGTTATATTAGACCTTATATAACCCTTGCAAAAAGGCGACTTTGCCTCATTACCAACATTGAGGGGCTAAACTTCACCCCCATGAATGATGAGTACATTCACCCGCACCTGAGCCCTGTACCTTGACCCTTCTATCCTATTACTTCACGTCTACCCTTGTATATATGTGTCTCCTTATAAATTGTCTTCAACTCTTCCGTGAAAATATGGAAAAAGACTTTTTTCCTTTTTAAGACTGCTCATAGCCCAGTCGATAGAGCGTCGACCTCACACACACGCGGGGTCCGCTGTTCGAGACCCATTACAGCCCACGTGAATGGAATATGTATCCTCTTTACCGTGCATTACGGGTTATTCATGCCCGTGTCCCCTCTTGGGTGGCTTAATTTGCATCAATCAATCATGCAAAACACCGTATCTCACCTGAAGATGTTCCAGACAGGAACGAAACGTTGTGTACTTAATACATCACATACTTATTAATTTTTTGTCCTAAAAACCCAGACTGACCATGAATTTCGATAATGTAATCACCCAACACCTGTCCCACATCCACCAGCATCCACCAGCATATTCACCTTGCTGGGTTAAGCCCCGGCACTTTCCCCTCACTTTGAGAATTTTCCTTTCACTCACTAGTAGGGTTATTTGCCCCATATACTTTCAGCGCCGTGGAGAGGGAGGACCTGCTGCCTGGGTAACAGCTTCTCCCCTGCATCAACCTACCTTGGCTTTGTGCCCTGGTGAGGCCACTCCAGACCGACAACCAGAGCGCAACTCCATAGTCTCCTGAGACTGATGGATGCCTACTACTACTATACTCTAATCTGAAGCAAAGATTATGCATCCTGATAATTATCGAACCTCAGTCGGTGGCTGAGCGGACAGAACACTGGACGCGTGATCCTGTGGTCACGGGTTCGATCGCGGACGCCGACGAGAAACAAGGGGCAGAGTTTCTCTCACCCTGATGCCCCTGTTACCTAGCAGTAAATTGGTACTTGGGAGTTAGTCAGCTGTCACGGGCTGCTTCCTGGGGGGTGGAGGCCTGGTCGAGGACCGGGTCGCGGGGACCCTAAGCCCCGAAATCCTCTCAAGATAACCTCAAGATACACTATCCCTACGTGAAACACCACCCTCAAGGAAAATCTTTGCTTTATGTTATAGTTTACGAGTCAAGAGCTTATATACAATTTCTAATATTCTTAAGATTTCTCCTCCTCGCTTGCTACTACTCCTTTCTTCCTGTTGTATGTCTTCTCTGGCATAGTTTAACATCTAATTATTTCAAGTTGTTCTCAAGCTTGTCTCAAGCGTGTATTAACGTTAATGGTTGAACTGGCGGCATCTTCCTTGACTGTCACCACCACGGAAGATGCTGTCAGTCCATCCTTCTATATATTTCCTGCATGACCTTCGATACGTTTCCTTCTATGCCATCTTGCCATAAGAGCTCCAGCAGGTGTTATCAACACCACCAAATGTATGAACCTTCCTCACAAAGTCCGTCTAGGTGTTCCAATTCCTCTTATTAGTTTTCTCAATACCTTACAGGGTACACATGTTAACGATATAAATAGTTCAATGTGAACATCTCGACGACCCCCTTTTACAGGTAGGAAAGTTTGTCTGGTGAGATGGCCTTCGGAACATCGAGGTTTCGAAGCCGCTTCGTAACTCCCTCTAATGTAACTTCCTTCTTGCTTAATGTCTCTCTCAAGGGAGTCGTGTCGTCTGCGTCTGACATGTGGTTCAGGTTAGAACACTTCCTGCTAGTTTTTGTTTAACATTTATATCCTATTCATCTTCCGTGTGTGTATGTGTACTCTCCTATTTGTGCTTGCCGGGGGTTGAACTCTGGCTCTTTGGTCCTGCCTTTCAACTGTCAATCAACTGGTATACAGGTTCCTGAGGCTATTGGGCTCTATCATATCTACACTTGAAAGAGTGTATTAGAGTCCGCCTCCACCACATCACTTCCTGATGCATTTTTCTAATTAGACAATGTCTAATGTGTATGTGTGGGTGTGTAAGTGTGCGTGTGTGTGAGTGTGCGTATGTGGGGGTGTGTGGGGGTGTGTGGGGTGGTGCGCGTGCGCTCATAACAAAAATGAGTAACAAGGAAATCATTATTTTTTATTTTCCCAATATCAAAACTTCATAAGTCAAGAGGCATTGAACTACAAGCGGGTTTCGCCAACTTATTCACCATGCAAGATGATGGAGAAGATCGCGAGGAAAAAGCTCGTAGAATGTCTGGAGAAAGGGAGCTTCCTAACACACCACCAGCATGGGTCCAGTGATGGTAAATCGTGCCTCGGAGGAGTTTCAAACAATTCTATGACCAGGCAACCAAAATCAGGCAAGAAAGAGAAGGGTGGGCAGACTGCATTTTCTGGAACTGCCAGAAAGCCTTTGACAAAGTGCCTCATAAGAGGCTGGTACATGAGTTGGAGAAACAGGCAGAAATAACGGGTAAGGTGATCCAGTGGATATGTAAGTATCTAAATAACAGAAAACAGCGACTTACGGTGAGGGGGAGACTTCAGAGTGTCGAGATGCCGTTAACGGAGTCCCCAAAGAGTGCTTTACTTGGACCCATTTTGTTTCTGATATATGTAAATTATCTTCCAGAGGGCATAGACTCATTCCTCTCAATGTTTGCTGATGCAAAAATTATGAGAAGGATAAAGAGATATGGAGATAGGACGAGATTTCAAGACGACCCGGACAAACTGAAGGAATAGCCCAGCAAATGGCAACTAGAGTTTAAATCAAACAAGTGTAAAGGAATGAAAATAGATGTAGGGAGCAGAAGGTCGAACACAAGATACTATCTGGGAGGTGAAATCCTTCAAGTATCAGGTACAGAAAGATCTGGGGGTTGATATCACACGGAACCTGTCCCCAGAAGCCCACATCAAAAGGATATCATCAACGGCATATGCTAGTTCTGCTAACATAAGAACTGTCTTTGGAAACTTGTATAAGAAATCATTCAGAATCTTGTATACCACATGTCAGACCAATCCTGGAGTATGCAGCTTCAGCATACTCCAGGATTGGTCTGGATAATGTAGTAATCTATACCTAATTAAACACAAGACAAAGAAAAGATTCAGAGGCATGCCACAAGACTAGCCCCAGAGCTGAGTGGTATGAGTTACGAGGAAAGGCTACTGGAACCACATCTCCCGTCCCTGGAAAACAGAAGAGTTAGTGGAGACATGATCATCCCCTACAAAATTCTCAGAAGGCTTGACAGGGTGGATAAAGAAACTATTTAGCATGGGTGGAATAGAACAAGGGGACATAGGGGAAACCTTAGAATCCAAATGAGCCATAGAGAAATTAGGAAGAACGCTTTGAGTGTCAGAGTAGTTAACAAATGGAATGCACTAAGAAGTGATGTGGTGGAGGCAAACTCCATACACAGTTTTAAATGTAGCTATGATAGGGAACCTGTACACCAGTTGATTGGCGGTTGAGAGGCGGTATCAAGAGCCGAAGCTCAACCCCCTGCAAGCACAACTAAGCGAGCACCCGCTGAACTGCTGCTGACCTTTCTAAACATTATTTTTTGAGCCGTATGAGAGCTACACTCAAGGCCGTTCTTACACAACCTGTCCTCACACTTACTGCACCGCAATATCGACGCTATCAACCACTTCGAGGTGGGGAAAAAAAAGTGAAATTAAAAATTCCGCAAAGGTTGTGGTATCTGCGATGACCACGGGGCCGCGGTAACCACGGCGGGTCGCCCAGGACCATACGCTTCTGGGTAGACAAAACTAGTTCATATCCGACGCTGGTCCAATAGTAAGAAGCTCTTGGCTCAGGTTCTTGCAGCGACCGGCCTTTCCGCCTCCGCCAGAACGGCCTCGTCAGACGGTCATACGTATAGCTCGCCAGGATGGGCCCGCCTCGGCCCACCTCGACCCCCCTCCCCGCGCCCCGCTCGGCCGTGGACGACCCCACAGACACACACACACACGTTCCCACACGGCCACTATACGTATCTGCGCTTCCCTGGGGGGAACTATTGAAGGCCTTTGCGCGCCCCGTGTTGCATAGTACTGTGAAGCCACCGTACCGGACGCAACACTCTGGGGGGAGGGTAGGAGTCTCTATTTGTGGAAAGGAATTCCCAGAAAATGTACTAATGTGCAGTAGTTTTAATGTTCGTGGGGGGCTGTGTAAATACGATTATATACGTGTGTGTGTGGTGTTGGGTGGCTGTAACCTGGTCGCCCCCATACCCGCAAGGCCTAAGGGAATTATCCTACGCTACAGTAAGTGTGATTTTTTTTAATGTACTTCAAAAGGGAATGACTCGAAGGCCGGTCACATTAGGCCTTCTGCAGTTTCCTTTATTCTTTCAATTTTACATTTTTAAATTATTGATATTTTAATTTTAATTTTTTTTAGAACGGTCATTCTTATGGAAATTGATTAATATTAATTATTTGAGTTCAGTTCAAACATGATTTTTGTTTTATTTTAGGTGTCAAGGAATTTTGACCTCTTTGTTAACCTCTTGGCCTCTTTGTTAACCTCTTGGCCTCTTTGTTGACCTCTTGGCCTCTTTGTTAACCTCTTGGCCTCTTTGTTCCAAGTTTTGTCACTTCGTGATGACATGAGTACTGTGGAAGGAAGACAGATGAGAGAGAGAGAGAGAGAGAGAGAGAGAGAGAGAGAGAGAGAGAGAGAGAGAGAGAGAGAGAGAGAGATGAGAGATACGAGAGGAAAGTAGAAGGAAGAGGTAGACACTCGGCCAGTGACCATCAACACGAGGTCACCCGCTGTTATCTAACCCCTATTATCTAACCCCTATTTTCTAAACACATTCCCACAGAAGACATGCCATCAGGTATATATATATATATATATATATATATATATATATATATATATATATATATATATATATATATATATATATATATATATATATATATATATATATATATATATATATATATATATATATATATATATATATATATATATATATATATATATATATATATATATATATATATATATATATATATATATATATATATATATATATATATATATATATATATATATATATATATATATATATATATATATATATATATATATATATATATATATATATATATATATATATATATATATATATATATATATATATATATATATATATATATATATATATATATATATATATATATATACACTATAGTTCACAGCTCTAGCTCCGCCATTTATGCTCCTTCAGAAGCAAATGATCTATAATACAAGAGTCGATTGGTAAATGTTTCTCAGATGAGAGACAAGGGGGACGAGAGGCAGGAGATGAGACACGAGGTGGAAGCCTTAAGGAGATGAGAGACATAGTGGGGGGGGGGAAGGAAGGAAGAGGATTGAAGTGTATTGTGACGTCTGAAATAATATTTGATAAAGCGACTGATGGCATTGCACAGTGACGTCATTATCTTTTACAGTGTATCAGGATAGACTTCTAATAATTTTATATATATATATTGATGTTTTATGCTGTGATCAGTTCATTAATTTATATGTTAAATATACGAATGAGTGCATGCGACAAAACTGCATTGTTTTATCCTTATTTTTAAAAAAATCGCACTTGGCAACAGTGATACGTCATGGAGCAACGCCTTCCTGTGATTGGTGCAACCGGTTCCCTCGCACGTCACTGGAGACTCCCATCTGAGTCGTACCATTGGTGGTAAAGTGATGACGCAACGTTCCTGGAACCTTGAAGTGTGTATATATACGCTGGTGCCCGGTACGCTCCCATGCACTTCTCCTGTTAGTCTCCGCTGAGCACTTTCTACTCCGAGCTGACATGTGCAACACCCACTACAATTTCAAGAGTGTGCTTCCTGAAGTAACCTGCGCCGAGGACATGGAAGACCTGATCGGTACGGCCATTTGCTACCAGTACATGTTCGAGAAGCGCACCTCACCGTGGGAGAGGTGCGAGTGGTCTGAGGGTGAACTGGAAGCCTTTGAGATAGATCTGGAGGCCGTCGACCGCCTCTACTACATCTATCACTGCGACGACGGTGTCTCCGGCAGGGACTTCGAATTCATTGGCAGGATGGAGTACAAGCACCGCTATGTCTACATCAAGATGTCAGCCGGCTGTGACTTCACCGGCTTTGATTGCCAAGGAGGAGGCAAGATCTTCCTCACCTTCGACGCTAGGATCTTCCTCAAGTCCGCCATGGAGCAACACTACCAGCCTCACCTCATCTGGGAGTCCATGGTGCAGGACGGGCTGGACGTTGAAGAGCCTTCGTCCTCCTCCTCCTCACATCTCCAGAAAACAATGACCTGGTTATACTCCACCTCCTGTGGCACTTGACCCTGGCACCACCAGACGGACGGACGGACGAGTTGACCTACTTCGGTAGGGCCGTCAATCTCCCGTGTCGCTGCCAGGGTCGAAGAGGCTGCCAGACCAGACGAAGGTGACGGAAGCTGGTGACTGCAAGCATCTTATGTTGGTCGCTCTCTACAGCATCACTCGACAGTGGCTGATGGGGTGATGCCCGCACCCTAAGACGTGTCCTGGGGTGCCTGTTCACAAGTGTTCAAGCAACACCGTCTGTTGAACGGGAACGGATACCTCTCCTCTCTTCTCTTCATATTTTATAATTACATTAAAATCAATAACATTGAACAGCATATTTATCTTAACCTATCTATTCAAAATATTCCAGCTGCTATATGACTGAAACAATAAAATTATTATCAACGAACAAAATAGTAGTACTAGGCATCCATCAGTCTCAGGAGACTATGGAGTTGCACTCTGGTGTTGGCCTAAACATACGCTTAAAATAACAAAATAGGTTTAAATATAAGCAGCAACATTGATAACACACAGTAATAATAATAATACAATAAAAATATAAAAAATATATATAAATAATAATATCATTTCAATCTAATAAAATAGGAACAATTTACTACCTGTAATCATCCAAAATACGCAAAATTATTCAACTCGCTTTAGGGACAGGCTGGTGGTTACAACGAACGATCACTCTCCAAAAATGAATCAACCCGTTCTCGCACTTTCTTCAGTCAATATTGACTTATTTAATACGTGCATATGTGACATACTAAATATAATAGTTTACCTTGAAAAGCTTCATAGAAAACACCGACCTTACCTAACCTTCTTAGTATGTTAAGATAAGCATCTTATTGCTTCGTAATTACAATTATTACTTAACCTATACCTATAATAGGTTAAGTAATAATTGTAATTACGAAGCAATAAGATGCTTATCTTAACATACTAAGAATAGTTAGGTAAGGTCGGTGTTTTCTATGAAGCTTTTCAAGGTAAACTAGTATGTTTAGTATGTCACATATGCACGTATTTAATAAGTCAATATTGACTATACGAAAGTGCGAGAACGGGTTGCAAGGAATATATCTTTAAAACCATTCTTTACCCTTCCATTATCAGACGATTAAATTTGGTGACACGACGAACGTAAATAGTTTACCGAAGGGGTCATGTTTATTTCTACATTTATCTGTGATTATTGTATAACAATTTCCCTGAAATTGACCATAAACACGTCAGTTAAGGTCCTGAAGACCTTTCAGATGACACCCTTAGATCTGGGAGGCTCCAGAGACAATCAAGTTTACGTATGGTTCCAAGTATTTGTTCAGCTTCTCTCGGTTCGCATTTAAATTGTCCTTAGAAGCACATTTTCACTAATTCTCCAGTAAGACAATATACATATAGAGGAACATGTGCACAAAGTGTGTATTGTTGTATATAGTTAACAGTTCATATTGTGCCAATCTGAAAATTTGAGGCTTTAGTTAACAATAAAATTATATGCTAAAAAAATAAAAAACGTAGATAATAACCTAACCTGTCTTGGGCTTAACGTATTGGCAGGCCCAACCTAACCTAACGTATTCTAGGCCTAACCAAACGAATCCTAGATCAAACCTAACGTATCATAAACCTATCCTAACGTATTCAGGGGCCTTATCTAACGAATTCTCGGCTCAATCTAACGAATCCTAAGCCTAACCCTAACGTATCGATAATATTGTTCACATATTTTCACTTCAATTGGCCTAAAACAGAGTAGGTTACTGATATCCTCATTCCTTTTTTTAATGTAAAAGTGTTATTTTGATTCAAATGGTTAAAATACGGACATTTTTTTTTTACCATGTGCAAGAATCCATATTTCGTCCCTGCTCGCGCTCTGGGGGATGTGTCTTACATTATCAGATGATGACCGGCGATCACGCCTTCTCTAATTCGTCCAGCTGTTAGGCAAGTTAGCAGCAGCAGCAGTGGAGCATTGTCAACCATAGAGGGCCAAGTCTGGAGCATTAGTTGCTCGGTAGCAACCATAGAGGGCCAAGTCTGGAGCATTAGTTGCTCGGTAGCAACCATAGAGGGCCAAGTCTGGAGCATTAGTTGCTCGGTAGCAACCATAGAGGGCCAAGTCTGGAGCATTAGTTGCTCGGTAGCAACCTTGGAGGGCCAAGTCTGGAGCATTAGTTGCTCGGTAGCAACCATAGAGGGCCAAGTCTGGAGCATTAGTTGCTCGGTAGCAACCATAGAGGGCCAAGTCTGGAGCATTAGTTGCTCGGTAGCAACCTTGGAGGCCAAGTCTGGAGCATTAGTTGCTCGGTAGCAACCTTGGAGGGAGGCCAGTCTTGTAGAGGATTCTTAGCACTTAGGCGACCACAACGTGGAACTTTATCAACTTCAGAAAGTTGACACTGGGAAAACCGCCCGTTCTGAAGGTGGATTCGTGACAGATGTTTACAGTGAGATTCGGGAAGCAAGGAATGCAAATGAAGGAGGCGTTGCGTTGGCTTGTCGACCTCTCTATATATTCTTGCTTATCGTAACTACCGTAAATAATCCTTGCCCTATTCAACTAAATAAACATATATTAACTAGTTTATTTTTAAATGAACTAATTAAACATAACCTAAGTCGCGTAACTAAACTAATCCTGTCCTAATTATGGTAACAACTAACCCTAATCACATCTTACCTAATCAAGCCCAATCTAACCAAATCTTAACTAAGTGGATTGTATTATCTACGAATGTGAGGACGCACAAAAAGACTTATGGATGTAAGAAGCAGTAGATATTAAGATGACCGCCGGTATTCCTATACTCTCTAAATATACTAATATATCATATATGTGGAGCACACATCACGCTCTCAGCTCCGGGCTAAACCTTAACATAATCATTTTGCTTTTACGATGCTTTGTTAATATCAGAAATGAAATTTACAAACGAAATTTATTCGGCATCAGATAAATGATTTTTGACAGCTGCTGCTCTCAAGTATAAACATAAATCAGCTGTTCACCGAGCCAGCTGCTGCTCTCAAGTATAAACATAAATCAGCTGTTCACCGAGCCAGCTGCTGCTGCTCTCAAATGTAAACATAAATCAGCTGTTCACAGAGCCTGCTGCTGTTCACATGTGTAAACATAAATCAGCTGTTCACCGAGCCAGCTGCTGCTGCTCTCAAATGTAAACATAAATCAGCTGTTCACAGAGCCTGCTGCTGTTCACATGTGTAAACATAAATCAGCTGTTCACCGAGCCAGCTGCTGCTGCTCTCAAATGTAAACATAAATCAGCTGTTCACCTGGCGAGCTGTTCGGATGGGATCCTCCACTGTTGCCATGGGGCTGGCCTTCCAATGTTTAATTATACCACAGTGAGAGGAAGACATATACCATATCTTCCTCTAGACAAGATATACAAGCTATAACGATATACCTCGTTATAGCTTGAGCAGGTTTGGCATTTTGTTAAATTAAGCGAGAGTGTATGGAATACAAGCTGAGGCCTAATTAGCATTCTGCACAGGTGGAGTTTCACATGCAGTGGGGCTTGGTTGAACCAGTACGGATGTGCTAATTGTGCTTTGGTCATTGTTGTTTTCATGATGACCAAACCACACACACACCAGAAGGTGGAGCAACGACGACGTTTCGGTCCGTTCTGGACCACTATCAAGACGTATGTGGTCCAAGATGGACCAATAAACGTCTTAGTCTCTTCATCTTCTGGTATGTGAGGTTTGGTCATTATACCTTCACCAGGTAATTGAGACTCATCGTCTGTTATTTTCATCTTAATATGTTCGATGGAGTTTAGCAATCTTGATATTTTGCAGCCTGAGATTGTGTTGAAGATCTGGAGATGTATCGATGCATCTTCAGTGTTAATGTCACCGTGTTAACTCGGCCAACAGCCTGCTGAATGAAGCCTTTACTTTGTTAGGATTTGACAAAATGTTCCAATTTAAGGTCTCATCTTGTTGTGCTCGCTATATCTTCTTTTACCTTTCTGATCACTGCGTCGTGCTTTGTCCAGCTGGCATCGATGTTAGTGAGTGAATACGTTCGTCGGGGAATTGGTGGTGGTGGTGGATTCACCATCCAAGAATGGTGCTGGAATCATTGATTTCAACCTTTCTGTTATATTATGTCTGCAAAAATATGACAATATAACATGTCATATTTTTGCAGACATATGTCTGCAAAAAGAGTACGAAAATATACTATTTTATATATATATATATATATATATATATATATATATATATATATATATATATATATATATATATATAAATTATTAAATACAGAGGTCTTGCACACTGCTACAGCTTTGTTCCGATCGGCTCGGAGACCCTCGGTTCGTGGGGAAAATGTGCATTGAAGTTCCTGAAGGAATTGGGGGACAAATTGATCAGCGCTACAAAAGACCAGAGAGCAAAAAGTTTCTTGTTCCAGCGCCTCAGTGTTGCGATTCAGAGGGGAAATGCCTGTTGCGTCTTGGGCACTAGTCCAACTTCAGAGGAATTCGAAGAAGTGTTTGACTTGCAACAATGATCGAACCCGTCTGTGACATTCATCAATGTTTTCCATTGTTGTGTTTTTCAAGAGATCCATAACCTTTAAGCACCTTTTTGCATTATTATTTTTGTATCAACCCATTTATATCTTGTAACCAACAAATGCATAATAAAGCACAAAAAATAAAAAAGGAAGGGGGTGGTAGGAGAAAAGCACACAGAAACTGTATTGGAGGGGATCTAAACATTCCCTCTAATGCGTTATGCGTGGTTTCCTCCGAGGCTATGGGTCCCCCTTCTTCCAGCTAGAGGTGGTACTCCCTTCCATATATATATATATATATATATATATATATATATATATATATATATATATATATATATATATATATATATATATATACCCTTCCCTCTCTTAAGGTCCTCTCAGACCCTCTCAGATATGTACCCTCAGAGAGGAGAGAGCAGACCCTCTCATTATATTACAAGTTGTGTAAAACACTAAAGTTCAGCATGTCTCCCAGCCACTCTCCTGTTTTGTTTTGAACAAAGTTTTCTTTTATATACGGTATGCCCAAGGTGTGACGTCACTATGACATGTGAATTCTAACCGGCTCAGGTTTCCAATTTCGACTGCGCTTGAACCAGCGTCCTGTACGACTCGTGTACACGTAAACACAGTCATATGATCATAGCTTTACCCCCCAAACTTTGGCACAGTGCCACAGTCTTGGCACTTCTAGTGAAATCTCCACACCTTCTCCATTTCTTTTTCTATATTTAATTTGTTTATATTC